CTCCCCAGAACCCTGGACCCCACCCCAGGCAGCACAGCCCCATCCCCCTCCCTAGAACCCTGAATCCCACCCCAGACAGCACAGCCCCATCCTGCTCCCCAGAACCCTGGACCCCACCCTGGGCAGTGCATCTCTCACCTGTCCCCAGCCCCTGGCCATTTCTCACCCAGGTAAGAATCCCTCATGTCCACATTCTCCTGAGACATGTTGATGAAGGTGGGGTTCATATTTGGGGGGTACAGGAAGGCACCTCCAGACCAGCTGAAGCTCCCCACAGCCCCCAGGACAGGGCCATCCTGGGAGGAAAAGATTCCAGGGCTGAGCAAAGGCCAGAGAAGGAAGACACATGTCCCAGAGATAGGCCGGCCACCCGTGCCTCTCGCCTACCTGCCACCCACCCTGGCCTTCCCTGCTCCCACCGTCCCCTCACCACACATCATCAGCCTAAGGGGCCCCACTCACAGGCGTGAACACAGCACTGAAGCCTTCCTGCGCCATCTCCAATTCAAAGGAGCTACTGCTTGTAGTCTCGGTACCTAGGGGAAGGCATGACGCTTGAGTGCCAGGGAGGGAGGTGGGCTTTGCCAGGTCCAAGAAGAACACCTCAGCTTTAGGAGAAGCTAAGACTGGAGGCTACAGGAAGGGTTGGTGCCTGTGACAGGGACCAGGCTCTGCCCTGCAGATCGGCTCTGACTTCGGGGACCCCCTCTGCTCCGTGGACATGGACAGCGACCGCAGCACCGACCAGGTCCTCATCGGGGACCCTATTACTATGAGCAGACCTGAGGGGACCAAGTGCCCATGTGCCCCTTGCCCAGGGGGGTGAATGGCTGGAGGGACCTGGGCGGGATGGGGCCTGGTGTGGATGGAAGGGTCTCCTGGGTTGGGCCTGGTAACTGCAGTGGAGCAGGCGGTGGTGTGAAATCATTCTCTGTGGGGAGCAGGGCCACTCCTTGGGCCACTTTGGGGTGGCTCTGACAGTGCTGGGGGATGTGAATGGGGACAAGCTGATGGACTTTGGGGCCCCAGGAGGGTGGGAGAACCAGGCTGCTGTCTGTGGGTTCCATGGAGCCTTGGGTGCCAAAGGGAAAGGCATTACAGCTGAGGATTTCCCAAGCGAAAGCTCCCTTTCAGACTCACCCTCAATGGCAAAGATCTTCTCCTTCAGTTGGTTTTGGATATCTTTCAGAGCATCAAAGTCCTCCACTTTAAATATGTGTTCCTGGGAGGGCTTCGATGCAATGTCATTCAATTCTTTCCAGGAGTTTCTGTTTTGAAAAGCTGATCCAACCTGTCCCCAGAAAAGATGAACTCAGTAAAAATAATGAATGGAATGCATCTGTGTGCACTGGGTGCAGCATCCTTCAACAACCCTGCAGGGTCGGCAGGACCGCACGCATCAGACACATGAGAAGCACGAGCCCCCGACGGCAGCAGGAAGTTTAGGAGAAAGGACCACGGTCCCCAGGCTGGGCCAGAGTTTTCATCCTGAAGGCAGTAAGAGCCGACAGAGCTGGTGTTTCTACCCTTGAAAGAGATGTTTTTGGCGGTGGTTCACCCTTGTAATCCCTGTGCCTTGGGAGGCCAAGGTGGTAGAACTGCTTGAGGCCAGGAATTAGAGACCAGCCTGGGCAACATAGCAAGACCCATCTCTACCAAAAAATAAAATAAAATAAGATAAAATAAAAATCGCATCTACAGCCATACCACCCTGAACGTGCCCGATCTCGTCTGATCTTGGAAGCTAAGCAGAGTCAGGCCTGGTTAGTACTTGGATGGGAGACTACCTGGGAACACCGGGTGCAGCAGGCTTATGAAAAATGAAATAAAATAAAATAAAATAAAATAAAAATCTCCAGGCATGGTGGTGGACAGCTGTGTTTCCAGCTACTGGAGAGGCTGGGGTGGGAGAATCACTGCAGCCCAGGAGTTCGAGGCTGCAGTGAGCTAGGATTGTACCACTGCACTCCAGCCTGGGAGACAGAGCAAGACCCTGTCTCAAAGAGAAAAGCAAGGGAAACTGCCCTGACAGGAAGCTGAGGGAGAAGGCGGAAGGCGTCGCCATGCCCTACCCCAATTGCATAGCGGATGATGCCTGCTTTGTCCGCCATGGGGATGACATCATCATAATCCAGCCAGTCGCCTTCTTTCTTCCCATCAGTGATGACAATGAGGATCTTGGTGGCATCCCTGCGGGCCCCATTTGAGGCAAGGAACAATTCCCTCCTAACAGGAAAGAAGAGGTCTTAGAGGCCTGTGAACAAAACCACATTAGCCACTGGTGCCCTTGTGAAAATGAGAAGGTGCCCTTCCTTTGGGAGGCTCCAGTCCCACCTAGAGGTCCCACCTTGGCAAGGGTATCACGGGCTGGATTTCAGTCCCTGCCTGTCCCCTTCTTGCGGAGACAGATGAGGCTCAAGGGAAGACCTGGATGCTTTGGGACTGTGCCTGGGAGAAGTCAGGACTCACACAACTTTTTGGATGGCGGTGGCCGTGTGTGTGTACCCTCCCAGCTGGTAGACAGAAGCCAACAGGCTGAGGGGGTTTGAGCTGTCCCTGAATTCCTTGAAAGTGAAGTGTGTTCGGAATTTGCTGGAGAACTGCATCAGGGAAAACTGGGAGAAGCACACAGGGCCGGGGCTGAGACCATTTCACCAGGGTCCAAGCTCCCACCCTCAGCAGGCTCCCTCCTCCGAAGGCACACCTGGGTGCTGGGTCTCTGAAAGTGGCTCATCACAGCTCTCACGAAGCTCTTCATCGTGGCAAAGTTGTTGTATAAGATGCTGCCCGAGCCATCGATCAGGAACACAATGTCCTGCTCCTGTCTTGGGCACTCTGGGGAAGGAGGTGGCACAGGTCCTCCAAGGGACACTCCCAGAGCCCAGGACCGTGGCCTCCTGGCCACAAGAGCTGACTCTCCCAACACCCTTCCTCCCCTAAGCCCCTAGTCTGGCGATGGGAGTCAGTCTCCACACCCTGGGTCCTCTCCTCATTGGGGGCAGGGCTTCCCTACCCTGCTGCCTGGGACAAGCCCCTTCATTCTCACAGTTGCATAAAGAGTCTGTGTTGAAGCTGCTCACTCCTGCGAAGCCAGCCCGGCCGATAAGAAAGTAAAGGTCAGGCTGGGCACAGTGGCTCACGTCTGTAATCCAAGCACTTTGGGAGGCCTAGGCAGGAGGACTGCTTGAGCCCAGGATTTCAAGATCAGCCTAGACAACATAGTGAGACCCCACGTCTATTAAAAATTGTTAAAATCAGCTGGGTGTGGGCATGGTGGCTGTGGTCCCAGTTACTCTGGAGGCTAAGGTGGGAGGATCACTTGAGCCCAGGAGTCGGAAGCTTCAGTGAGCTGTGATTGTACCACTGCACTTTAGCCTGGGTGACAGAGTAAGACTCTGTCTCTTAAAAAAAAAAAAAAAAGGATTTCTCCAATTCAGATGGCAGGAAGTGAGGGTCTACCCCTCCACCCTGAATATCTGTGACCTCCCTGGACCCTCCCCCCCTTCCTCCCCCAGTGTCATCCCATCCAGCAATGACACAACCTGACCCCAGCCCCTGGCCAGTGTTTGTCCTCACTGCTCAGTGCTGAATGGTAGTTTGTTTTTTTGATTTGCTTTATGTTTTTGATTTATTTTTTTTTTGAGATGGAGTCTTGCTCTGTTGCCCAGGCTGGAGTGCAGTGGCATGATCTTGGCCCACCAAAACCTCTGCTTCCTGGGTTCAAGCAATTCTGCTGCCTCAGCCTCCTGAATAGCTGGGATTACAGGTGCACATCACCACAACTGGCTAATTTTTGTAGAGACGGTATTTCACCATATTGGTCAGGCTGATCCTGAACTCCTGACCTTGTGATCCACCCACCTCAGCCTCCCAAAGTATAGTTTTGTTAATTTTTTTTTTTTAAGGTGGAGTCTCGCTGTGTCACCCAGGCTGGAGCGCAGTGGTGCAATCGTAGCTCACTACAGCCTCCAACTCCTGGGCTCAGGCAATTCTCCTGCCTCAGCCTCCCGAGTAGTTGGGACTGCAGGTATGTAACACCACACCCAGCTACTTTTTATTTTTATTTTTGTAGAGATGAAGTCTCACTCTATTGCCCAGGCTGGTCTCAAACTCCAGGCCTCAAACAACCCTCCTGCTTTGATTGTTTTAATATTTTAAATTAATCATCCCAGGAGCAACCACACACTGGGCCTGTTCTGTTCCCAGCTTAAATACAGGCCCCCACTTCCCTCCAGCATGAAAGCAGCATCTGCCCTGAGAAGAGGACTTTCTTCCAGCACCTGGAGGGGAGACCCCCTTTCACGCAACCTCTCAGTGTCCCCTCTGCCTCAGAGGCCTCCATTAGAGAGACAGGCATCCTGGGCATTCTGATGGGTGCCAGGCCCCTGTGGATGGAGTCTGGACCCACAGAGGTGCTGGAAGGCGCACGCTATTTGCAGCCAGACGTCAGTCTCACCAAGGGCTTCAGAGCAAATCTGAAACCAGGGGAGGCCTCAGCTCGCAAGGTCTGAAAAGCCCACTGTTCCGCTTCCTTATCTTTCTTCCCCATCAACACCAGGGAAGTCAGGCCCTGCACCTCAACCTGCACGTGCACACGCACGCACACATATGCGTACACACACACATGCATGCACATGCATGCACACATGTACACCTGTGTGTGCACATGTGTGTGTACATGCATGCATGCTCATACACACATGTACACATGCATACACATACATACATGCTGCTCACACTGTACCTTCACTGACCTTTCCTACTGCACAAACCAATTGGTCATATCCCAGGACCCATTGGATGAAAATAGATCCCCTTCTCTAAAAATAACAGCAGCGGCCTTCATAGGGCTGTCGCCTGGTGCCAGCTTCTGGGCTAACCCCTGACCATGAATCATCTTGTGTTACTTCAGTGCTGGGTGTGTTATTCTCCCCATTCAACAGATGAAGAAACTGAGGCTTGGAGAGGTTAAGATCCCACGAAAGGTCACACGGTGTGCGGGCGACGTGCAGGGTGTGTGGGCAGCGGCGTCGGGAACCGCTACACCATGCAGTAACTCTTTTTCCAGAGCGCTTCTTTCTGACTTACTCTGGCAAGAGTGTCTCTGGCCCACTGTACCCCTAGTTAGATGCGCGTGAGCTCCTCAAAGCCCTCCAGTGGCCCCGACACTCACCCTGCATGGATGCCGGGAGCCTCTGGGTGAGCTGGGTAGGGGCCAGGAGGAAGCAGAGTCCGGTCAGGTACATGTTCCTCCCGCACGCGTGGTGCATGGTGGGGCCACAGGCCTGGGGACACAGCGGGCTGCTGGAGGGCTGCCCCTGCACCCTCGCATTCCGGCACCTCCACCTTACATGAGACCCCCAACCCCTGAGGTCCCGGGTCCCCCCTCCCTCCCACAGGGGCCTCCTGTGACCCAGGGCCACTCACCAGCAGCTGGGAGGGGCTGGTGGTAGCCGCCAGGGACAGGCCCAGGGACATGTTCACTGCCTCCCGGGGGACTGCGGGACAGATATGTGCATGGTCACCCTCATGGGGACAGAGAAGGCTATGGAAGAGCTGGGCAGGGGTCACCTCCACCTGGGAGACAAGGAGGTCTGACAGCGAAGGGGGCTGTTGGATCTTGACAGAACTGCAGGGGTGCACTGGGTGGGGAGGCCTTGAGAGGCCAGGAAGCGGGTCTGAGGGTGAAGGTCTCAGATACAGCAGAAGCTGGAGGTGAAACTCCGATGAGCACGGGCTCCCGGAGAGGGGAGCCTGGGAACCTGGCCCTGGGTCCTGGGGGGCCGGTGACTCACCCTGCAGGCTGATGGGCTGACAGGCACCGGTGCTGTAGCTGCACTGGTAGAGGCCGCCTGTTTGATTGGCAGCCGTCATCTCGTGGGGGGCTCCAACCACCACCCTGCAGGGAGAGAAGACACTGCAGGTGAGAGCATGGACAGTGGGCACAGCTGCCCTCGGGGGAGTTCACATTTCCTCTCCCAGCCTCGGCTTCCTCATCTGCAAGATGGGTTTTAATAATTTAAATTCTACAGGGGAGGGATTTGTCTGTTGGATTTTCTGACGTATGGAGACATAGTAGGTGCTCAAGAAATATTTGTTGAGTCTGGGCGTGGTGGTTCACACCTGGAATCCCAGCCCTCTGGGAGGCTAAGGCAGGAGGATCCCTCGAGCCCAGGAGTTTGAGACCAGCGTAACCAACATAGTGAGACCCTATCTCTCTATACATTTTTAAATGTGTACAAAAAAAGAAAAAAAAAACAAATAAGTGTTTTATGCATGACTGATTCCAACTCACAGGTTGCCGCGTCCCCTGTGACGAGCCTGGCACTGCACTGACTGCTCTGTAAATGTTAGCTGTGAGATCGGGCCTGCTTTCAAGGCAAATCTGCATAAGCCAGGGCAGTCACTACACCAGACAGAGAGGAGAGTTTGCAAATAACAGGGCAGGGTGGGGAGCATGGGGCCCTAAGCAGGGAGAGGAAGGATGGAGCCGAAGGCCAGCACCACCAGGGCCTCACCAGGAGTTGGCGTACTGGACCACGCTGTCTCCAAACCCAGCGCTGTCCACACGGAAGGCTGTCAGCCGCTCTGTGTCCAAGTTGAAACCCAGAGAAGTCGCTAAGACTGGGGAGGAGGTGGGAAGAGAGCTTTGGAGAAGGGTCTTCCTTCTGCCTGGCTGCCCCCCACCCCCAGCCCCAGTGGGGGCCTCTAAGTCTGATGCCTGGGGTGCCTGGGTCTTCTGGACACCTAACTCATCACCTTCTCTCCTTCCGAGAGTCCAGAGAGGCCCCTCACCCACCATCCGCTGTCGAGTTTCAGTTCTCTGTTTCTGCAGAGCAGTACTAAGGTTCTAAAGAGGATCTTTCCCCACTGTGCCCCTGGGGTGCTATGTCCAGGAAAACTTGGGGACCAAAGGTATGCTGTGCACAGAGCACAACCTTGGCACGTTCTGCCTATTTTAAAAATCTCTGAGGCTGGGCACGGTGGCTCACACCTATAATCCCAGCACTTTGGGAGGCCAAGGTAGGTGGATCACCTGAGGTCAGGAGTTCGAGACCAGCCTGGCCAACATGATGAAACCCTGTCTCTACTAAAAATACAAAAAAAAAAATTAGCTGGGCACAATGGTGGGTGCCTGTAATCCCAGCTACTCGGGGGGCTGAGACAGGAGAATCACTTGAACCCAGGAGGCAGAGGTTGTAGTGAGCTGAGATTGCATCATTGCACTCCAGCCTGGGCAAAAAGAGCAAAACTCTGTCTCAAGAAAGAAAAATAAAAAGATTAAAACTCCCTGGAGTGTCATGACAACTGTCCTCTCTTCCGGCATCTCTGGAACTCCCCCAAAATTGATTCATCCATATCCTCTCCCTCCATGTGGGAAGTAAAAATGTTCCTCCTTAAAGTTTCCTTTCTTATTAAAGAATAAATCATAAGTGTTATTCTTTAACAAGAGAGAAACACTTGTTAAAGAATATCCTCTTGTTAAGCCCTATCCTATGTAGCTGTTAAACATGCCATGCTTACAGGCACGTGGTACATTCTACCTCCTTGTACTTTAACCCTAGTTAACCAAGATGTCTGTGCTGGACATGCTCACAGGCATGTCCCAGCTTTCCATTGCTTTTACCTGTTTAGAAAAGTTTTAAGTTGTTAGCCAATCAGATTTGAGTTTAGATTGTAAGGTCTGGCTCCAGCCAACGGAGATCGGACACAGCAGTAAGGATGATCCCAAATGGGTAAGGGATAAATATGTCTGCTTTTCCTTTGTTAATTGCACTCTCCTGGCAAGATGGCTGGTGAGAGTACCCCTCCTGCAGTCCAAGAGGTAAAAATTGTGTTGCTGAAAGATCCTTTGTCTCAGTGCTAATTTTCTTTGCGGCACTGAGCATCTCAGTGATGCTAACTTTTCATTCCGACACTCCACAAACTCCAGATCCCAAACCCTGTGTGCCAGCCTCTCTCTCCTGCCTGAGTCTCTCTTCCTACCCAGATCCTGACCCCCCCCAGGCTGAACCCCCAGTTTAGGGCCTTGGCTCCCTTGGGCCTGGGTCCCCAGTCCCACTTCGTTGGGGACCAGGCTCACCTGTGAACAGGAGGAGTGCTGTCCTGGTCCTGGTCATGACTGGAAGGTCAGATGCGAAGCTCCGAGCTCCTGGGTTGTTTCAGGAAGAGCTAGATCAATGTACTGAGGAAGCAAGTGGCCAGAGAGGTGGCCAGGGGCAGGAAGAAAGTTGTCAGGGTGAGTCAGACGGGGCGGGCAGAGAACACAACTGAACCAAGGACCAGCCCACATGCCCACCCCCTGGCCGGAGTCACTCTCATCATATGACTTGGCTTGATGCTGTTTGTTTGAGTGGATGCAAATCCTTGCCCTGCCCTCTCAGGCTCCCCTGTGACTGGCAGAAGGTGCCCTTGACCCTGAAATTTCAGCCAGACTGGAGTGGGTGGGCAGAAGCCAGCCCCTCAGGACCCTGAAGGAAACCCTGGTGGAAGCCCTCCACTCTGACCTGGAAAGTCTGGGCCGAGGAATGGGGCATCCGGGTCCCTAGGAGGAGCACAGAGCGAGTACTCTCATTTATTCATTCACTCTTTTATTCATCATTTACTCAAGAAGCCTAATTTGAGCCTGGAGATGCAAGCCCTCTGCTAGGTGAAGAAAACGTAAACCACAAAGCCCCAGCCCTGGTGTCAGCGGAGAGGCAGATACATAAAGAAGAAGCTCACTGCTATGAGGGAGAAGAGCAGAGACCACAGGGTGCCTCACCCAGGCTGGGAAGGTGTGGCTCTCTGGGAGGGCTTCCTGGAAGAGGCGGCGCTTGAGCTGAGCATTGAAAGCAATAGAACTCGGGAGATGACAGGGCAGCCAGACATGGACAAGGCAGGAGACAGGAGGGCATGTGTGTAAAATCAGTGAGGGAACCAGACAGTCAGAGGTGGGAAGTGGTAAGAGACAAGGTCAGGGCCGCTGGGAGGAGAGGAAGGGAAGCAGGCCCCAGGCCCTGGAAGCCGCCCTACTGTATGTACATCAATTTTTTTTTTCTTCAGAAACGGGATCTTGCTCTGTTACCCAGGCTGGAGTGCAGTGGTGTGATCATAGCTCACTGTAGCCTAGAACTCCTGGGCTCAAAGGACCTCCCACCTCAGCCTCCCAATTAGCTGGGAGTATAGGATTGCACCACTGCACCTTAATTTTTTTTATTATCATTATTTTTAGTAAAGACATGGTTTCCCCATGTTGGCCAGGCTGGTCTCAAACTCCTGGCCTCAATCAAACCTCCTGCCTCAGCTTCTGAAAGTGCTGGGGTCACAGGTGTGAGCCACCACACCCAGTAAAGACACATTGATTTTATCCTGGGGTAGAGGGGAGCATTGAAGGGAATTAATGGGGATCACATCCCCTGTCATTGCTGGGAGAGTTGAGTGGGTGTGGAGGGCTTGGGAGAGCAGGTGGGAGCCTGGGCTGCCGCCTGTGATCATTGCTGTGCTGTGACAGCCGTCCTGGTGGGAAGGAGGTGTCTGTGGAGCCTCCGAGAGAGAGGTGGGAGGCAGTTGGGTATGTGGATCTGGACCTCAGGAACAGCTCGGTTCTGGACCCATCAGCAGAAGTGCCGGTCGAGGTCCTGGCGAGAGTGTGACAAGGGAGGTACATGCAGGCCATGGAAACAGCAGCGGTGGCCACAGAGCAGGAGACCTGAAGACTGAGGAGGCCCCACAGAGAGGCGGAAGGAGGCGGGGAGAGAGACAGGCAGGCAGACCGGGGACACAAACCACAGAGCAGGCTGCCAGACATCCAGTGAGGGAAGACACGAGGACTGTCCCAGCTCTGGCTCCAGAGGCCATCAGAGACCCCGGAGTGGGCCACGCTGGGGCAGCAGGGTGGCCACACTGGCGTGGGCCGAGGAGGCATAGGTGTGACGAACACAGCAGCGCTGTCACCTGGAGGGAGAGCCTCGGACCCCACACTTCTGAGCAGCATGGCTGGGAGTGGGCCCTGGAGAAAGGGGGAGACGAGGAAAACCGCAGAGAGAGAAGATGGTGGGTTGAAAGCCAAGAAGGAAATAGCAACAGAAAAACCCAAAAAAGAGGAAGAAGTGGCGCAGGTTCTGGAGAGGATAAAAAAAAAGAAACCAGCAACTGGGGATGCAGGGCGGGGCTTGTGGGCAGGGTGAGGGCCAGTGAGGCCTCGCCTTTGAGGAGGCCACGATCCTGGCCTTGCCACCCCCTTTCTCCTGCTTGAGGTCCACCTCAGGTGGAGGAGGCAGGAGAGGAGGACCCCAGATGCATGAGAGGCCCCATCTCCTCTCAAGCTGCCCACCGACTCCCGCGGTACCCCAGGCTCAGTCAAGGTGAACTCAAATTGAAAGAAAGCCAAGGTGAGACCATTCGCTTTTGGAACAGACAATTCAGGCTCAGCAAAGAGGAAGACAGGACGCGTTCTCATCTCAGCCCACCCCCGTTACAGATGAGAGCCGTGGGGCTTGCAATCAGGACCTCAGGGAGTCTAAAACTCACAGCCCCACGCAGTGAATCATGACTTGATGATTCCAGAGGAAGGATGGCAGCCGGGGAAATGGTGTAAGCAAGGAAGGAAGGGGCTGCCCATCACCCACCTCCTCAGCCCCGAGGGATCCTGAGTCAGCAGAACCCAGCTCCCCACACAGCCCCCTGGGGTGCTCAGAGCCCAGGCTGAGCCCATGGCAAGAGGTCAAGGGTAGAGGGAGGGTCTGGGGGAGTTTGGAGAGCAGCCAGCCTGTCCTGGGCTGATGCTCACCCGATCAGTTCCTGCTCCATCCCTGAGCCCAGGGGCTCTGGTTGAAGGAGGTTCCAGCAGGGCAGCCGGTTGGGATAGGGAGGCGTGGTTCTGGCACGAACAGGGAAGGAGGTGGATATGGAGAAGCCAGGTCCAACGCTACTGCCTTAATTCAAGTCTGATTTGTCTAAGTGGAACTGAAAAATTTGGGGTCTGTCTCCTGGGTCCTTTGTTTTCTATGGAAAGAAGAGAACAGAAACCTTGTGGGCAGAAACCCTCGGATTTCTGGGTCCGTTTCCGCCCCACACTCACCCACAGGGCCCTAGTGGAGTTACCCTAAAGTTTCCGCCCCGCCTTTCCCCACTCGCAGTCGGTCTCACTTCTCTCTTTGAAGGACAATCCCTGCTGCACCCCCACATGTTCTTAACATGCAATTTATTTTAATTCTACAGTGTAGAAATACACACGTACAGACAGAGGTACTTGGGAAGACGCTCTGCTCCAAAGGCACCCTGAAGGCGCAGCGTTCTGTCGGGATGTACAGTTTGGGAGCGCTGTCTGGGCAGCTCGGTAGGTGGAAAGGAGAAGCAGGCATGGGATAATGACATCGGCGGCCGATGCAGGAGCTGCCGTGCTGACATTTATAGTACCATGCACCTTATTTATTTTCTTAGTAAAAACAATTTTTTTCTCCTCTCTTTTTTATTTTTATTTATTTATTTTTTCAGTAGAGACAGCATTTCTCTATGTTGGCCAGGCTGGTCTGGAACTCCTGGCCTCAAGCGATCCACCCGCCTCAGCCTCCCAAAGTGCTGGGATTACAGGTGTGAGCCACCGTGGCTGGCTTCTTTTTTAAAATTTTAGATTCAGGGGATACATGTGCAGCTTTATTCCACAGGCATATTGCAGGGTGCTGAGGTTTGCACTTCTGTTGACCCTGTCAACCAAACAGTGAGCAGAGTACCCAATAGGTAGTTTTCAACCCTTGCTCCCCTCCCTCCCTTTCCCCTCTGGAGGCCCCAGTGTCTGTTGTTCCCATCTTTACATACCCGTGTACCCAATGTTCAGCTCCCCCTTATACACAGGAATATGCAGTATTTGGTTTTCTGTTCCTACGTTAATTCTCTTAGGACTATGACCTCCAGCTGCATCCATGTTGCAGTAAAGGACGTGATTTCATTCTTTTTTGTGACTGCATTGTATTCCATGGTGTGTGTAGCACGTTTTCCAAGCCACCACTGATGGGCATCCAGGCTGGTTCTGTGTCTTTGCTATTGTGCTTTATTTGTATTAGCTAATTGAACCCTCACAGCAGCCCTGTGATGGGGGCTGCTGTCACCCCTGTTTCACAGATGCAAAATTGAGGCATGGAGAAGTTGGGTCATCTGACTCAGGTCACCCAGCTAGTTTGGGCTGAGGACAGGACTCAGGGTGTTGGAGTCTTGAGTATTTTGCTAATGACTTGACTTCCTCCTCTCTGCCCTAACCGCTGCCTGGGGCACATTTGTTCCCCATACCACTCATCCCACACACATGGGCTCCCCATGGGACCTAGGCTCTGGGCTGGCCACTGTGAGAAGCAAGACAAACAGGAAAGGGTCTCAGTCCTCAAGGAGTTACACCCCAGAGGGAGATCACATCCCAGAAGGAGATCACACCCTAAAAGTTTTACTAGACAGCAGAGTAACCCGAGGGAGGAAGGAAGTAATTAGCTCTGCTTGATGAATCGCAGAGGGAGAGGCTTGAGATGATTAAAGCTGTGCCCTGGTGTGCCAGGGGCTGGACAGGGACTGCTGGCTTCCCCACACTGGGACTGTGTCTTCCTAATCTTTCTTTCATTGTTTTGTTTTTCAGAAACAAAGCCTTACTCTGTCACCCAAGCTGGAGTGCAGCGGTGTGATCAGAGCTCACTGTAGTCTCAATCTCCTGGGCTCAAGCGATCCTCCCACTTCAGCCTCCTGAGTAGCTGGGACTACAGGTGTGCACCACCATGTCTAGCTAATTTTTAAATGTTTTGTGAAGTTAGGGGTCTTGCTATGTTGTCCACGATGGTCTTGAACTCCTGGCCTCAAGTGATCACCCCCATCACCTCAGCCTCCCAAAGTGTTGGGATTATAGGTGGGAGCCACCATGTCTGCCCCTTTTAACCCTTTTAACCCCAGTTCTTCGCATAATCCCTGGCACATGGGAGGCACACAATCCATATTTGGTGCATGAATGAAGTGAAAGAATGGCAGAATGCTATCCAGGCAGCACGAGGATCTGATAGTTCCAGTCCCAATCACAGTTGCAGCTCACTTATGTGCCTGGGAAACAACATTTGCTGCAATTGTTCTAAGCTGAGGGCGGGGGCGGGGAAGTTAATAATCAGCCTTTCTTAGTGAAGGATGAAAAGTGACACTCTCTAGATGAGAGTTCATTGAAGGAAGATACTGCTTCTCACTTCTCTTTGTCTCTTCAACAATGGGCATTGAATACTGAGCAGGTACAACCAGGAGTCAGTTCCTGTCTGTGGGTGTAGAATGGATGGGTGTGGGAGGGTGGATGGGTTTGTGTGTAAACAGGTGGATGGATGGAAGGATGGGGTGGAGGGTGGATGTGTAGATGGGTGGGTGGGCAGGTGAACAGGTGGATGGATGGAAGAATGGAGTGGTGGGTAGACAAGTAGACGGGTGGGTAAGTGGGTGAATACATGGATGGATGGAAGGATAGGGTGGATGGGTAGATGGGTGGGTGAGTGGGTGAACAGGTGGATGGATGGAAGGATGGGCTGGTGGGTGGATGGATAGAAGGGTGGGTGAATGGGTGAACAGGTGGATGGATGGAAGGATGGGGTGGAGAATGGATGGGTAGATGGGTGGGTGAGTGAGTGAACAGGTGGATAGATGAAAGGATGGGATGGAGGGTG